CACGTATCATTAGTATCACAAAAATCAATATGAAACTTGTTACCATTTTGTGCAATTTCTTCGTCCAGTGTATCATTCTTGATCTGTGATTTTTTATCAAATACCATGTGTATGGATTCTTCAACCACCATTGATCTTTTATTCAAAACTCTGAACGCCTTGCTGGTAGTCGAATATCCTAGAAAAATTCCTTCATCTGCACGCTCATCAAAAGCTTTTAGATGCAATTTATCATTAATATGAATAAAACATTTGTATCCAAAAATATGAAAATAACCAATATTTGGTTTTCTCCCTTTATATAGCTCATATGGCGTCTTCTTGTACTGCTTATGGATCATGCTTCGATTTTGCGTGTAACAAGCAGTGTTGATAGCTTCCGCCCAATATCGTTTCGGGAGACCGGCAGCACTAATCATCACTCGTGCGGCTTCTTTGAGCGTCCGGTTTCTTCTTTCGGCAACACCGTTTTGTTGCGGTGTTCTTGCGGCAGATAATTGATGAGAAATTCCATGTGAATTGCAAAAAGCTTGTATAACTCCATTCACGAACTCGGTTCCGCGATCCGTTCGTATTTTTGATATTTGCAATTCTTTCTCATTTTGTAGTTGCTTCAACAGCTTCGGTAGAACTTGCTCAACTTCATTTTTCTTCTTGAGAAACACGGTCCAAGTGTACCTGGAAAAATCATCAACAACAACGAGAGTATATTTCTTACCACTCACACTTATTGGATCAACCGGTCCAAATAAGTCCATATGTAGTAAGCTTAGCGGTCTTGACGTTGACTCGTGTGTCTTTGATTTGAATGATGATTTGATTTGCTTTCCGCGTTGGCATGCATCACACACTTGGTCCTTCTTGAACTTGAGCCATTTCACATAACATATCAAGCATCATCCACTTATACATATACATATACACGACAATCCAAATATAGACAATATTATACTCAAAAGAACAAGCGAAAAAAAATAAAAAATACTGATTAGTTTGCATGGGCGAACACTCAATCAATGATGAAGAAATCGCGGCTCCAAATTGCAACGGTGATGATCCAAGAAAATAGGAAACCAATTTGGCCAAGGATTATACATGCGTTCACACTTAAAAAAATAGAAAAAGACACTATTATCCCACTTTAACAAAAAAGATCAATCCATGTCATCTCAAGAACTCAAATCTGGACCATCCAAATAAAAAAACAAACGCACAAGATTAGTCATCACGTCCTCACCTAAGATTAGGTCCTCACCTTATCCGGATTCTATATATATATATATATATATATATATATATATATATATATATATATATATATATATATATATATATATATATATATATATATATATACTTACTGTTCACCATGCTCTTGGAAACTGAAAGGTCTCCAGCAGCATTCATACTTCCAAGATAACATCATAGATTTCAAAATCCAGTTTTACATTGTATATAAGCCTCTGTAGATGGAGACATCTACTCCCAAGTTCACCATATCTTCAGTTTGAATCACCTGCAAATTAGGGAAAAAAAAAAAGAAAAAAAAGAACCAAAGTATATGCAAAGAAACCATGCCAAAGTCTGTATGTTGTTGTAAAAGATACTGGCCCTCTAGATATGGAGAAAGCAATAAGAGTAAGGTGTGTGAGATGTTATGAAATAGCTGAAAACAGAGGCTCTACAGAGATAAAGAGTCGAGAAGTTTTGGTCTGCGATGAAGAGGTATTTTAGTTCATTGTTTAATGTTTTCCTTCTCCTGAAAATAGATTGTGTACACAGATTTATGCTCTACCAAATCGAGGCTCTAAACAGATTTTTTCTCTATATAGATTTTTTCTGTTCACTGTTTAAGGTTTTCCATATGCTAATGTTTCTTTTATTTCACTAATCTTTATGGGATAGGGAGTGTTCAGAATTAGTTGGTATCCCAGCCCACCTTTTGTACACAAAGTATAACAAGGTAAAGTTACATTACTTCTAAGAAACTTGGCTTCTTCCCCAAGCCAAGAAATACCTCACCCAATCTTGCAAAGATTCATCCCAAGATCCCACCTTTCTATCTTCCAAGCTTAGGAAAGGGTAAGATCTAAAGTTATTTACAGCACGTTTGGTTCACGGAATGAATTTGGAGGGAATAGGAATGCTATTCCACATGGAATGGAATAGGTAAGGAATAGAATATGAATTGTATTATGTTGTTTGGTTGGCTGAAGGAATATACTTTAGTAATTGTATTCCAGTGTTTGGTTGGTTAAAGGAATAGGTTTTAAAGATATAAATACCCTTATACAAAATAATAATAATAATAATAATAATGATTATGATATACTAAATGTTATATATATATATATATATATATATATATATATATATATATATATATATATATATATATATATATATATATATATATAGGGGTGCATTCAAGTGGGAACCATTCCTTAGTTGAGAACTAGGAACTAATAGTAGCCTTAGATGGTTGTTGATCTACGGTTGATATTTATTCTTTTTTAGATGGAATTGGTGCTGATTTGGAATTATTTTATCAACTAAAAAGTGAGAAAGGGGCATTAGGGTCATTGTGTACGCCCCTTATTGTGGTTAATTACGTTTTTTTCTAGTTTTTGTTATGTTTTCAAACAGGGAAACAATTTAGCTATTACATTACGTATCCCTCACTAACTCGAACTCTCCATTTTTCTGGAAGTTTTCTGTCATTTTTTATTCTGGCGGACAGTCACCGTGCCTACTTGGGAATTTATTTTCTAATATACTGTAAACTGAAAATCCCGAGTCAAATCCCACTACAGGGTTGAATTTTAGGCTGTGCAAGTTGGGCTATCGCACAGGACCTTCAAATTTTAGAGGGCCCCCAAATTTTATTGGGTTCAATATTTAATTTTTACCTAACTAGTTTAGAAATAAAAATAAAAAGTTTTCAATTAAACTTAAAAGGTTTTATGGATGAATGGTAGGAACATGTGCTTATTGAATTTAAATTAACTTGGAGGTCAAAGGTTCGAAATTTGGGTTCAATATTTAATTTTTACCTAGGTAGTTTCGAAATAAAAAACAAAAAGTTTTCACTTAATTGTAAAAGGCTCCATGAAGGAATGGTAAGAACACATACTTATTGTATTTTAACTTGAAGGTTAGAGGATTGAAACTTTAGAGCACTTCTTACCTTTTTTTTTTTTTACAATCAAATTTTTGCATTGCGACTTACCCTTTTTTTAATCATTTTTGCATTGCGAGTTTGCGCACACTATTATTATTATTATTATTATTATTATTATTATTATTATTATTATTATTATTATTATTATTATTATTATTTCATAATATACTTTTTGTTTTTCTGCTTTGCGCACATCAACATTTTACCACATTATTATTATTATTATTATTATTATTATTATTATTATTATTATTATTATTATTATTATTATTATTATTATTATTATTATTCCAAAATACGATATTGATTTTAAAGATTGTGATTTTGGTAGGGCCTTATTTATTTACCCGAACGGGGCCATCAAAACCTAAAAATCGGCCCTGCCCCACTAAGCTGGCAAATTATGCCCTGGATCCGTGTCCACAATGCATTGTGGACACGAGTCCAAAACGACGTCGTTTTTAGGGAAAAAGCGTCATTCTAGTTTTAAAAAAATTTTATTTTGTCTCGCCGTTAACGACGTTATTCGTTTGTGCCATTATGAATGTACAGTTATGAGATTATGAATGTACAGTTATGGAATTATGAATGTACAATTATGGAATTATTAATGTAAGTTATAAAATTATGAACACAGAGCTCTGACATTATGAACTTACAATTATGAACATAGAGCTCTAAAATTGTGAACATGGAGCTGCGAAAATTATGAAGTTACAGTTACGGAATTATGAATGTACAGAAGCTGGAAGTATGAATGTACAGTTATTGAATTATGAACACAGAGCTCTGACATTATGAACTTACAATATAAACATATAGTGATAAAATTATGAACATAGAGCTCTAAAATTGTGAACATAGAGCTTCGAAAATTATGAAGTTACAGTTATTGAATTATGAATGTACAGTTATGGAAGTATGAATGTACAGTTATTGAATTATGAACATAGAGCTCTGACATTATGAACTTACAATTATGAACATATAGTAATAAAGTTATGAACATATACTCCTATAATAAAGCGGTCTGAAATTAAAAAAAAAAAAGTGGAAAAGCAAAAGGTAAAGTGTTCTCCGCTCAAGCAAAAGCAGCGATTATTTATTGGTAATGTTCCTAGAAACTAGGGGGAGGAAGAGATGAAGAAGGTGGTAACAAGGTTGGGCTTGGCGTTATTAAAGTATAATTGTTGAAGGTCTGTATGCTCTTTTATCTTGTTGTTTCCCTCTTCTGTTTGAGGTAAACCAGTTTTCATCAAGTTACTTAAATTCTGTGTTGAATTCGTAAGTGTGAATCTGCTGTATTTATGCAGCTTCTTTCATTTGATATGTTGAAGAAAATCTCGAGTTATACAGCTTCATTCATTTGTGTGATTTCTAAAGTAATCTTGTACTCTTATTCATTTGCCGTGTTAAAAGTGGCCTTCTGGTTTGATCTGAACTAGACTTGTTATTTGCAAGTAGAAACACACTCATGCATGGTAAGAAATCTTGGTTATTATTAGATGGTTGTAACTCCCCCACACGTGAAATTAATGTACATTGTATAATTCAATATATCTGAGAGCGACACATGGAAGCCTTTCTTTCCAGAAAAGGTAAGCAAAAAGCTAATAACATGTAATGGAAATAAACTATGAGAATACAAAGTCACTGTTTATTATCAAATTCAACAATAACGAAAATAAAATATGACCAACGAAAAGTTCTACCCCGAAAGCTAATAACATGTAATGGAAATAAACTAAGAGAATACAAAGTCACTGGTTATTATCAAATTCAACAATACTGGAAA